AGGGGAACGGATCCTCCTTGCATTTTTAGCCATATTGGATCAGATTGGAGGTAGCCGAGTGTAAACAGACACAAGTCTGTTTACATCCAACTACCCATAGAGGAGAATGGAGGATCCGGTCGGGTCCGTCTGAAAAATAGATCTGACCAGACTGCTTATATGACAGGGGCCTTAGAAATATATAAGTTTCTGTTCATTGTTGGAACAATTAATGAGATCATTAAGATATCCTTACAAAATAGTTTAAGTAGTTATTCTTCGATGGAGAACCCTATTTTGTAGATCTGTTTAGAAACGTTGCTTTCCCAACGGTTATTGAAATAGCAAAAAATACAAAGTTGTCCCCCAGAGAAGGTTCGCTCACCTACTAGATGCTACATCATTTAGCTGAGAATGGCAGACGTCTTGTGAAGGCACAGCGCTGATGAGGAGGTGTGGACTGTAGCCTAAGCTCCATTTACTTTTCAATCAGCTGGGGACCTTTTTAGAAAACAATATGTAGCTTGCTCTAAAAAAGCACAAGTTATGCATTTGATCATCTGTCCCACATTTTGTAGAACAGGCACTTCCAGGTGTCTGCACCCATGTTTAGCCTATTTTTGCTAAGAATCTGAAAACTCAAGACTCTCTTTATATACAACTTGGGATTTTGATCGTCACACTTTAGTCTGTTATTTCCCTCCTTTCCTGCATCACTATTGGACATTGTAGCTGCCGTCATATTTAGTGCTCATTCCTGTCTGCTATACAGTGCGGGGGACCATTATATCAAAGTAGAAGAAGTCACAGGTACACTATAATTACTGACACATTATAGAGGTTTGGTCAGTGACTCACCTGGATTTATTGAGCTACAGGGTCAATGTGTTTCACACATGTCAGTAATTAAAAGGACAAACTGGTAGCCTTGACATGCATCTGAACTCCAAACACCGTGACATTCATTGATCATGTGTTGATGCTCATGGTCTCATTCATCTCAGTAGGTTTCCTTAAAGGAAGTGTGAACTCAGTCTCAAGTCAGTTTTTTTTAAATAGTGCTAGCTGTATATTTGTTACCAGGGGTGGACTGACAACTCATGGGGCCCCCGGGCAATAGAGGATCATGGGGCCCCTGTGTCCTTGCCAAAACACAAAAAGGCCTATGAAAATGGTACCAGGGGCATCTCATGGGGCCCCCTACTGACCCCGGGCCCTCGGGCAGTGCCCAAGTTTCCAAATGGTCAGTCCGCCCCTGTTTGTTACAAGTATAATAGTCATATTTTCAGATGTTTACATATTTTGTGTGGGAAGCTATTGGTCCCCATCCACTTCTCTCTAGCAATGTATGGCCTGCGATGGCTAAACCTAGAAAGATCTGTAAGAGAATAAGGGCCCTTTCAGACCTGTCTCCTCTGGTGTGTTGCATTAACACAAGTGTTAAAGTGTTACTAAACCCAGGACCCTGCATTTACTATATCTGGTCTCCCCGGACCCTGCATTCACTATATCTGGTCTCCCCGGACCCTGCATTCACTATATCTGGTCTCCCCGGACCCTGCATTCACTATATCTGGTCTCCATGGACCCTGCATTCACTATATCTGGTCTCCCCGGACCCTGCATTCACTCTATCTGGTCTCCCAGGACCCTGTATTCACTCTATCTGGTCACCATGGACCCTGTATTCACTCTATCTGGTCTCCATGGACCCTGTATTCACTCTATTTGGTCTCCCACAGTACAAAGAACATGGAAATGCAATATTTTAGTAAATATAAACTGCTAAATACTTTTTCTTATCAGCAGTCTTGTGGCTTTGATCAGTGTCCAGCAGAGCACTGGTTACAGCTTGTAGGAGGAGTTTTCATTCTCCCCTGACTGTCCTGTGAGGCTGCAGGAACCCTGACTCTCTGTATGGACAGTGCTGATTGATCCTGTGCTGATCACATGCACTCTTCCAAAGAAAAAAAACAATATTTAGCAATACACACCAAACTGAGCATGTGACTGACTCCTAGAGCTCGTGTACTATCAGCAGATGGATTGGGGACAGTAGAAGAAGGGGAGGATCAGAGAAGACAGGATCAAACAGCTGTTTTACATAATGCGGTGGATTAACTCATTAGGTTCCACAGTGAGTATAACAAGCATGCTTTACTGCATATGCAGACTGATTTTACTGCTGTGAGTTTAGTAACACTTTAATGCACCTTATGCCGTACAAAACTGCATTATATTAAGGCAGTCCATTGAAATGAATGGGCTGCCAATACACCAGAAAAGACAAAAGTGATGAAGAACACCACAACACACGTTAGTGCATTACTGTGCATTGTCATGTGCTGCAGTGTATGCGCATCAAAGGGGCATTGAATGAAATTGTTGAGTGCTATTGGACATAAATAGCACCGCAACACACTAACACACGTAACATGCGTTAATGTGCATTTTCATAATGTGTGCGTTAACACATGCGTCCTTGCAATGCACTGCTCTGGGAAGGTGTGAATGGGCCCTAACAGGTAGTGTTTAATACTTGCATCTGTGACATTGTTTGCTTTTATCAAATTGTATATGACCAGCCTCAGATATATAAAAATAAATAGATCTGATTCAGGTAAAGGCAATATGTAATGGTTTTGCTTATATTTTCTTTGTTATAGGTATGATTAAAAAACAAAATAAAAATACATTTATTTTTCTTTTAGTCAGGTGAATAGGAAACACTAAATTTTATCATTTTATGTTCTCCCTTTTAGCCTTTGAGCTCCTTTTCAAATGTTTTCCTCTGTTTACCTTGCTCCTTTGTTGTAAAAAAAACCTTGTTGTTTACAATGTTCAATAGCTCAAGCTGAGATACACCTTGAAGTTGGTTTAATAAACCTGGAGAGTGCAAAATTTGGTGCAGCTCTGCATAGAAACCAATTATCTTATTGTCAAAAATTTCAAAGCTGAACTTAGAAGCTGATTGGCTAACATGCACCAGATTTTGCACTCTACAGTTTTAGTAAATCAACCCAAGTAAGTCAGAGGAGTGAATAATTCCTCAAAAACCTGAAAAATCAAACCCAAACATTTATTTTTAAGGAACTTTTTTAACTGATTTTTTTTCTCCCACTTCTTTTGCAGCAACAACGAAGGCTCGATCTTCTTACTATTACCAACCCCGGTGAGTACTTAAACAATATGTTTCTCGCCCGTGATCAATTAACAATTTCTTGGATCGCCAGTGAGCAATAAGACAGGCTGAAAGTTCGGTATTTTCTGTGCTTTACTAAATATTAATTTTAAAAATAGAAATATAACTTGCAAAATGGTGTAAAAATCCTACAGTTGTGCAATTTGACTACTGTGCATTTCATGAAAAAAAGTTCTGTAAAACATTTCCATTGTCGTAACTAACTAACTAGTCATACTACAGCCATATGTAATGTAATGTGGGCTTTTATATGAGGAGCGTTCAAGTCAAACCGGGACTTTGCAGTTTATATAATAAAAAAGAACTAATTTCAAGGAGTGGAAACTGCGTTTTTTTTTTTGCATACTCCCCTGCTACATTTATACGCTTATCCCAGCGTTTAACTAATGCCTGGAAAGCTTCGGCATAGAAAGATTTTGTCAGTACGCCTGAACCATTCCAGGACTGCCTGCTTCACTTCGTCATCAGTGCTGAAATTTGTCTCTTGTGCAATTTCATGACAGGTTATGTGTTGATTATGCAGGATCAGGTGTTCCACGTGCTGAATGTTCACAGGAATGACTGCTGTGGGCTGGGAACCACAATAGCTGAGATCATCACTGATGGACGTACGGCCATCTTTGATACGTTTACTCCATTCAAATGTCTTACTTTGTCTGAGCGTCTCATCACCATACTGTGCTTGAAGTCTTCTGTAGATATCATCAGGTTTTACACCTTTGTTCACAAGAAACTTCATCACCACATGCTGTTCCATGCATGCACTAACACTGTTGTCTGCCTTCTTGATTAACGGTCTCTGGACTGGCCTAAGACATGTGCGCCGCCTATCAGTAATAGGACACACTTGCCAGTTACTACTGCATGTAGTACAGCCATACTACCATCCCTTCTTATACCTGTAAAATTAAAAGTCTTGGTTTGACTTGAACTCCCCTCATATATAAACAGATACGCCAGAATGTTAACCGCTTTATCGCCACCCTATAGCAGGAATACTGCTACAGGGTGGTAGGGGTGCGCAAAATCACGTGTGTGTGTATGTGTATGTATGTATATGTATATATATATATATATGTGTGTGTGTGTGTGGGGGAACTCGCTTCAAAGTGGTAGAGCTTTTCTTTTTAAAACACACAGCAACTCGCTTATTCTTCTTTTTAAGGGCCTTTTCGCCCAATTTTATTTAAAAGAAAAAGTTCCATAAATCTTCCCACACAGGGGTATCCACCATCAAACACATGCAAATGAAAATTCAGCCTCCTGGCTTGCACACAGTTTTATGTCTGTCTCCTACAGACTCTTTCCGAAATGGCTTTTCCGCACACAGCAGCTGGCCATTAGCACACAGCTACTCTGGCTTCCACCTCTCCGTGGTGAAGCCCTCCTGACTCCTGTCTGCCGGGTTGGAGCCCAGAACCATGGTTAGGCCTCTCTGAAAAGTCCTGCACACACCTGTGCAATCAGTGTCCTGGCCATTCCCAAGACCTGGTCCCAGGATTGGAGATTTCATCCCTCCCAGATCTCTTTGAAATCTACAGGCTCCAGATCCCAAAACGGACTTAATGAATAAATGAGGAAAACGAAAAGCCAGTTTCCTCTGCAATTCATCAACCCTCTGGAGCCCCTCAACCTGCCTTGTTGAGAATCCTGGGTGACAGATCGCCACACTGTCACAATATATATATATATATATATATATATATATATATTGATTTTGCATTTCCAGGTAGGGGGAGCATGCGAGCCCTACCTGTGCCACTATTAACTGTCTCAGCTGATAATCACCGGGTCCCGACCGGTGATTACTCGCCAGTACCTGTAAACAATACAGATCTCTCCCCTATCAGCTCCAGCACACTGCTTTGTATGGCTGTGCATGGCAGAGCTATGCAAAGCAGTGTGCTTACAGTGAAGCACACACACACAGACAACACAGTAAAACACAGCACAGCACACAGTTAACCCTTTGATTGCCCCAAATGTTAACCCCTTCCTGCACAGTGCCATTAGTACAGCGTCAGTGCTTTTTATTAGCACTGATCACTGTATTGGTGTCACTGGGGATGTCAGTGACACCGAGTCAGTTCCCCCCAGTGTCAGAATGCCCACCGCAGTCCCGCTATAAGTCGCTGATTGCCACCAGTACTAGTAAAGAGGAAAAAAATTCCAGTACCCATACTGCCATTTATAAATGCTTTAACTTTCACGTAAACCAATTAATTTAGACATATTGGTATTTTTTTTTTCAGCAAAGACATGTAGCAGAATACATTTTGGCCTAAATTTATGACCAAATTTAATTTTTTAAAATTTTTTACTGGACATGTTTAATAGCAAAACATAAAAAAAATATTTTTTTTCTCAAAATTGTCTGTCTTTTTTTTTATAGTGCAAAAAAATAAAAACCACAGACAATCACATACCACTGAAAGAAAGCTCTATTTGTGAGAAAAAAAAGGACGTACATTTTTATTTGGGTGCAGCGTTGCATGATCGTGCAATTGTCAGTTAAAGTAACGGAGCGCTGTAACACAGAAAATGGCCTGGTCAGGAAGGGGGGTAAATCTTCTGGAGGGAAAGTGGTTAAAGTATACAATAAATACTAGAAGCAGATTAATTTAGCAAAAAAAAACAGGTTTGGCCTTCTTGCTTCAGCTGATCCCCTATAAATGGACAATCAACATCTAGGATTTTCAGCTCTAAGGAAGGGATTTCTACTCCCGAAATGCGTTAGGTTGTTTTCCCAAGGACCCCTGCTGCCTGGGACCGACATCTTTGGTGCTTTGTTTCTGTTTTCATGACCTTTTAGTTTGTCAGTATACATTTGTTGTTTTATATTAAATTTGTTTTTACTACGGTCATGCACGAGGAGAGTCCACCTTGTTTTATTCTTTTTTGCTAGTCTCTAGAGGGCCGCACCTCAGCGAGTGACAGTTTCTGTGTTCCTGTTTTGCATGAAGATTTGAGCTCTGGTTTTTGCTTTATGTTCAAGCAGACAGATTTAGTATACTAGTATAATAATAAAGTATAATAATAATAATGGACGGTTAGTTACAGAAATGGCAGTTTTTCATCATCATTCCTGTTCAGTCCTAAGTGGGATCTCCTGGCCTCCTGACACTGCTGGCCACTGAGTTTCAAAGATCAAAGGATCATGTCATGATCTCTTGTGATCCATCTGCAATTCCCCAAAACCGTCACAGTTCCAAATGTCCAAACCTAGGACTCATCACCTTGTCAATGCACCAGGCCTTACAAAATTGTAGACATTCCAGAAGACCATTATAACACTTTTGTTGACTTCTGAAGATGTCTGTTTGTTCAACTAAATAGTTTTTTTGTTTGGTGAATGCTGTTCTTTGTTGTAGTTCAGTCTAAGCTTCTAATTTGATACATAAACTAAAAATGATCATTTAGCCTCACCGCAAACTGTACAACTGCTATGAGGCTCAGAAGCACAGTGGAGCCAGAGCTTTCTTGCACTGTGGTGATTTATGGTGGTTACATAGTTAGTCTGGCTGAAAAAAGACAAAAGTCCATCCAGTTCAACCATTAAAAAAAAAAAGATATAATCTTATACCCACAGTTGATCCAGAGGAAGGCAAAAAAGCCCCAGCAAAGCATGATCCAATTTGCTCCTGCAGGGAAAAGAAAAATTCCTTCCTGATCCCCCGAGAGGTAATTCCCTGGATCAACTTTACCTATAAATGTTAGTATCCAGTTCTATTCTGTGTATCTATGATATAAACTAAATGTGTATATATAATTTTGGAATTTGCGTACGGTCAATATAAAAATGAGTAGAATTCCTTATCATTAGAGACTTATCACTTCAGAGACAGGACGCCACCTAATGGTTTTGATATTGGCACCATAATACATAGTGGTAGCCCTGCCAATATCTACAGAGGATATATAGCAAAAAGGGTATATCTGTTTTGTTTGTATCTAATATCACAAACTCTTATATGCCGATATTTTCTATATCTATGGCTTATTTTCTTTATTTTCATGTGTCATGCAATATAATTGTTTGAGTACACCTACACGTGATTATATACTGTATATATATTAGTAATGCAAAAGCAATAATTCAAAAGGAGCTACTGGTCAATGGCACACAAACACTTCTTTATTGACAAAAACAATGTTAAAAACAAAAACACAAGAAATCATACCACACTCCACAGGTCCCAAATAACAGTCCTCTAAGTGGAATACCCACTAATATATGATTTGTTGGTAAGGATGGCTCCCCTCACAAGCAGCAACATATGATCCATATGACAAAAATTGCAAAAATATTGTTTTTTGTTAGTTCAAAATGTTGGTTCAAATTGATCCTGAAAGGAAAGCATGCTGTTGATAGCCTAATACATTTCGGCCTGACCAAGATCTCCAGGAATACACTGCATACTGAACATTTCATGTAATGATTTGTGTAATCCAGGGGAGGATGTTGTATTCAGTGCAAACCTCTCTCTTACACTGAGTTGGCATTTCAAAATGAGATTAGAGTAATCCAGGGGAGGGTATAATGAGCCAGACGGATCTCTTCTTACAGTAAATGAGTGTTAAATCATATGAGGTTGTAACAGCATTTAGTCCCAGAAAATGCAACTACATGTAGTCCAGAGGAGGGTATTGCATATGTGTAAGGGCTTGCAACTCCCTCAGGTGCTTGACAGTGAGCACCATCTAGGGGAGATCAGTAGGCCAAGAAAACCTCCCTCATACAGGACATGGTTAAAACATCCTTGGTCCGAAACCCAACTAGAAGATTCCTGGTGTACATATAGTAATCTTGGAAATACAAATTTAGTTGGATGGAGTTGAAGACAGTAAATGCAAAATGCACTCCCTTTATAAGGCACAATATTTAGCAGCCAAGTTATCTCTTGCAAGATTGACAGAGTAGAGCAATAAACATATAGTCCCTTAAATGTGGATGAACATGCCAGCAAGGAGACTTCTTGTCAAAAATGATTGAATTGCAACGTGGCGCAACCAGTAACTCATCATATGCAGAGTGAGATAGTGTTCAATACATAGCAGTCCCTCTAGGCATTCAGTATGTGCAGCAACTCCTCAAATTAGAGTAGGTTGGCCATAGGACAATCCCTTCAAATGCATGAGGATAAACAATAAATTGAGCATTAATCAAAGGAAGTATCTTCTAAGTTAGGCAGAGCAGAGTAGATGAAATGTAGGCAAACAGTGTAATATTGGCAGTCCTTCTAGGTGTATATCAGCAAGTCTATCTTCTGCTGACTTGCTGATATACACATGGAAGGACTGCCTATATAGAATCTGATATCGCCATTTGAATTAGAAGTTGAAGGGATGGCAATTGTGTAGAAACTACACTAAAAAATATGACTAGGGGATTTGTATGTATGTATGTATATATGTATGTGTGTGTATGTATATATGTGTGTATATATATATATATATATATATATATATATATATATATATATATAGATAGATAGATATATATACATACATACATACAAATCCCCTAGTCATATTTTTTCATGCAGTTTTTACACAATTGCCATCCCTTCAACTTCTAACTCACATGGTGATATCAGATGCTGTCCCCCAACTCTTTGGTGTCACACAGTATCACACAGAATCAAATTAAAGAATCCTGGAACTACAGGATTTTTCTCTTGGATGCTGTTATGCATACTAAAGAGCTGGGAGTGTGTGCATGAGGTTAAGCTGTTAACAAGGCTGCAAACATCCCTCTCCACTTTGACTCTCATCCCCAGAATTATGTTCAAACAAAATAAGTAAAGAGGTCAAACAAGCTTTCATAAGAAAGCCTTTGCAAATACAATAATTTAAGACTGAATATGTAATGGACAACTGCACTTATAGAGATGTTATTGCTGAAATCCCCCCCCCCCCCCCCCACAGTGGAAGCCACATAACAATGTATTTACTTTCAGCTATTGTACATAGCGCTTTACTGTGTGGCCCTGCCTGGCGCCACACAGCCATTGCACCAAAATCTCTGACTTGTATCCGACTCTTACGGTGCATGTGCACCACCATTTATTTCTATGGCTTAGTGAATGCTCTTGGAGACCTTTAGGGTAGGTTCACATTAATGCAATGGAAGTGTATGCAGTTTTCTAGTATAATTCAAGGAGCACCTCCAGTGCAATTCAAATGTGATTCAGCTGCGATTGCAATGCAATTTGGATACAACTGCAATTTGGGTTTATGCCCTAGGGCAGCAATGGGCAAACTACGGCCCGCGGGCCGTATACGGCCCGGCGGACCTTTTAATCCGGCCCGCGGAGCGTGATACTGTAGGATGGCTGTCAGGATGTGTGTAGGCGGGGCAGCGTGACGAACGTGAGGGGAGCTAGGCTCCTCTCACAGTCCGCCCTGAAGACCGGTGTAGCATGAAAATCTGTCTCCTATGAGGATCTGTCCCCCTCGACGTATTTGCGCATGTGCCGGAGATCGCCGATCGGCTGCTAATGCCTGAAACTGGCACATGCGCAGATACGTCGAGGAGGACAGATCCTCATAGGAGACAGATTTTCATGCTACACCGGAACGGCGCGGGAACACGGCGAGAGGAACGCGCGGAACAAAGGTAAGTGAATTGACACGGGGGACTTAATATGGGGGATGAATTAATATGGGGAATGAATTACTATAGGGGGGGTGAATTACTATATGGGGGATGAATTACTATGGGGGATGAATTACTATAGGGGGGATGAATTACTATATGGGGGATGAATTACTATATGGGGGATGAATTACTATGGGGGATGAATTACTATATGGGGGATGAATTACTATATGGGGGATGAATTACTATGGGGGATGAATTACTATGGTGGATTAATTACTATATGGGGGATGAATTACTATGGGGGATGAATTACTATGGTGGATTAATTACTATATGGGGGATGAATTACTATATGGGGGATTAATTACTATGGGGGATGAATTACTATGGGGGATGAATTACTATGGGGGATGAATTACTATAGGGGGGATGAATTACTATGGGGGATGAATTACTATAGGGGGGATGAATTACTATGGGGGATGAATTACTATGGGGGATGAATTACTATATGAGGGATGAATTACTATA